ACATGCTGTATAACTCAGCAGCTCAGAGCTCTGGAAGTCAGAGGGCATTCAAGCTCGTTTCTAATTAGGAAGTGTCCTAATAGGGGACATGCAGCAAGTGACGTCTCGCAACGTAAAGTGCTCTGGCCCTTGGCTCATGGTCATTCCGTGTGTGCCCCTTTTCTCTACACCAAGGAGAAATAAAGGAAGAGAAGGTCACAAAGCTGGACAGAGAAGCTCTGACAGTGCTGGCAGCACCTGCTCTGTGCTCTGCTGTATCCCCTTAAATGTGGTTCAGCTTCTTGTTGTGGTGGAGGATCCATATCCAGTAGGTCAGCAACACCTGATGAAATCTGCTGGACCCAAAAAACTCCTGACATTAAGCAAGCACAATCCTTGGTGTGGAAGAGGCTGCACTGCTCTTTAAATGATTCACTTCCAGCGAGTTGAAGTTGGCAGCAGAGATACTTCAGGTTTCAGTAAGGCATGGATGGCACTCAGGCACCAAAAAGGTGTTGCTCCTTGTTGAGCTGATCTAGGAGCAAGGCTGAGCAGCTTTCATTTGAGCTGAGCACTTTTAGAGACCCTCCAATTGTAACAGGCAGCTCCTTCAATTTGATGTTCAAACGTTTTCAGACACTACTTCTGTTTCCCTGCTAGTTCCTCCATCTCCAGCTATTAATTCCCACATCAAAGGTCATTATCAATTCTGGCCCTTGCTGTTATATTATCCCACGCTAAATATTTCCTGTTTGGAAAGCACTCTCATTTTGCTTTACAAAGTATGTGAGTCAATTCCATCACGTACATGCATATTGAAAAGGTTTAAGGACTGGGCACAAACCAGAAGGGTAATTCCGAAGAGGAGCTCTTTTCTCTGTCCCCGGAGTAGCGCTGAAAGTCATCTCTGAGGCTACACCGTGCTTTCTGCCACTGGCTTCCAAAAGCTCTCTCTGTCCCTTGCAGGAGGCAACGGACCGGATTTCCACTTTGCTGTCTGAAGCTTTCAGCAAAATCTCATTTTTCTACTTGCTTAGAAGAGGCCAAATATTTCAGCGCTCCACTCACTTCCTTGTAAGACGAGAGATGCAGCGTACTGGGCCCCCAGAATATCACCAGAATGTCAAATCTCAGGCAGGCTACACTCAGGGCAAAGCGTCAGGATAAGCAGCCCATACTAGCAGATATTAAACTTCTTTTATTTCTCTGTTTCCTCAGTTCCTTTTTCTGTTCTTGGTTTCTCAAAGGCAACCAAGCAGCAAGACGCAGAGCACCCAATTTCCATTCCTGCAACGGCTCTAACAGGTGTAAACAGGACAGGGACAACCTGGAGAGGTCTCTTACTGACGTACCCAACGAACACCTCACCAAGGTAGCCTGGATGCATTAAAAACACTTCACACAGACAAGAAATGGAGTTTTGGATGCATCTCGCCCCGTGCAGTCCAGTGATCCCCGTGTGTAGTGAGCAGGGCTGCCAGACTCAACCCTGCTGCAGCAGCCCAACTGAACTCTACTCATGGACCTGCCCTCCACCTCTGCCTTCTGCACCCATCCAAGCAGGCTTGTGTCCCTGCTTTGGAAACCCACCAGAGGAACAGACAAGCTCCACGTCTGCAGGGAAAGCCGCACAAGGCTGGCTGGCCCATGCACCATGGTGAAACACCATTTGGGGGCGGTGAGCTGGGACGTGGAGATCACCATGAGCAGCCCACGAGCCCAGTCTGCAAGGTCTCCCCCCCATTGCAGCAAACCTGGTGCACCCAGACTCCAGGCCTCAGCAAACCTGGTGCACCCAGACTCCAGGCAGAGTACCAGTAGCTGAGACATTTCTAGGGTTATGTTAAGGCTTCCCCCAGCTCTGGGTGCTTTTGAGAAGAAGCCGCAGTCCCCAGCACACCATGTGATGGCAGCCAGCGTGGCTCAGCCCAAACCCTCCCATCAGCACAGTCCCTGGTGGTATGGGTCCCTCTGAGGGGGTGACACAGCTGTGCACCCTCCCATCAGCACAGTCCCTGGTGGTACGGGTCCCTCTGGGGGGGTGACACAGCTGTGAATGAGGCTGAGGACTTTCTCCACGCAAGGCAGTGTCCGTATCACGTCCTGGCTCACGACAACAGTTTTGAGCCCGGAAGACACATTGTTTATATAGGCTGTTTCAGACTGAAGCAATTTCTCTTTCTCACTGGTAGAAGGAACCAGCAGGGCTGTGCTTCAAACATCAGCAGGCAATAACTTCAAAAGAAGAGTTGCATCGTTTGTTTTCAAATATCTTTCTGTTGACCGCATCTGAACAAGGACGTGCTACGCTGTTCCTATGAACGCCCAGCTTGAAGAGCAGCACAGATCCAACAACATGGTTAACGCCTCTGCCCTTGGAAAGCCATCTCAGACACATCATGTCACACTATCCCACTGAGTCCACGGAGCTATGTGGCTAGAAAGTAAAAATTCCAGAGCCCAAAAGCAACAGAAACAAGAAAGTGTCTGTCTCCCAGAAAAGGGCTGAGCCTGGCATTATTTTTCTAAAATAAACTAGAATTAAAAACCCCAACAGCTTATCAATAGCCACATTCAAGTGAGGCATCAGGGTGGCTTTTCCTTGGAAGACGCATTAGCTCTAGACTTATTTGCTTTGTAACAGCAACAGCGGGAGCTCAGCGCAGCTCCCACCTCTCGTAGTGCCGTCGGGCTCTGCTCTGCAAGCTCCAGGTTACAACACACGGTGCAACCAAGTGCTCTTCAGCCTCACGCGTCCCTCACTGAGGGGTGTCCTGTCCTCCGTGCCAGCGTTCTCACGGCTCTCCACCACCGGCTGAAGTTCAAAGGCTGTGTTGGAGCCTTTGACCCACCTCCCTCTCACCCAGCAGAGCCGGGGAGAGCATGTGATGCTGTTTACACGGAGATGGGACTGGACTGACACCTAGAAATACAGGAGACACTCTGTCCCAACTCACAGATAAGCTCTTGCAAGAATGCCCTGCTGGGCAAAAGCCCTACAACCACTTTTCCTCTTGGAAGGAGTAAATTCTTCTCCAGCCTTCACCTGATATTCAAATCAAGTGACCTCAATTCGGACTGCAGTCTAACAAGGAAGAAAAGTTAGTCTTTGTGAAAAATTACCAAATTGGCACAAGAAATACTCTCCACAGAGTTGTGCAAAAGCACATCACTGCTTAAAAAAAAGAAAAAAAAAATTCTAAGTACAGAAAGTGTACTTAGCATAGATTGGAGAGTCCTCCGGGACTGGCAGTCTTTAGCACTCCTCAGTTACCGAGGGGTCCCTATGACCACCAAAGAGGAGATTGCTAAGAGTTACGAAGAGTGTGGGAGAGGAACCAGGACAGAAATGAAGACCTGGGGAGAGCTGGCAGGCAGCCTGCACAACTGCTCCCTGGAAATGCAGAGGATGGAGCTGTGTCTTTGCTGAAGAGCTATCACACTTTATTTGGATTGATGTAATTTGCAGCTCTGAAGAAGAATGAAATAGTCTGTTTACCAGAGAGGCCGTAGAGGGATGCTGCCCTCAGCCACTGCATTGCACAACTGCCGCTGAGCACAAGGCAGGCTTGGAGGGGGGGAACCTGGGAACCCTTTGTCCCACCCAAAGCATTAGCTTTGAACTGCTGCTGGAGGTAAGACATTAAATGGATGGGTGACCTGGCAAGGAGCAGGAAATTCTCCGTTCCTGAGATTCATACAAATATTTTTCCTTTCCCCACCATGTTGTGAGATTATTCCAGTTGGAAGTTCCACAATATCTCATCAGTAAGACAAGATACAGGGACAATCCTACGTTCTCCAGTACTGTTCACCGACAAGTCCTGTGCTATCCACCTTTAAGGGATGGCATTTTTACCACTCCGTTTGCACGAGTAGGGGCTGGCCACCAAGGGAGGACTGATGAGCAGGATGACTGCCTGCTACTCGAGGTACCTTGCCTTCTGGAGTCACCTTCCACACCACAGAGAACGTCAGCCTGTCTCGCATGGGATTGAGACTGCATAACTCCTCACAGAGCAGCTTGGGAAGCATCGGGATCACCTGGAAGAGAAAAGAGCCTCGGTGAGATATGGGCTTCTAGCAAAGACCTGGCTGTGGCCAAGCTTCCCTGACCAGGTGGTAAAAGAAAGGCTCAACAATGCACAAAAGGATAAAATGTAAAATGTGTTAAACCTCCAGGATCACACTCTCTGTGCAGGAGTGGCTATGTCACAGCCCTGGGACCCATCACCCATGCCAGAGCTACATCAGATGGTGAATGGCATGCCAGCACAGAATACGTAAATACCCCAAATCCTCTGAAATGAGAGGAAATCAGACACTGCTGAGGCCACCAACACTCACATCAGCCCCCTCAATGAGACCAGAGGGAGCTGTCAGTCTCCCACCTGGGAATCATTCCCAGTGGTCCCCAATGAGGTACAGCGTAAGCATCCTGGAGCATCCTGCATCCTCAGCACTTCCATCTGCAGCTTTCAAGGTCACAAAGTTTGCTCTGCTTTCCACTTCGTTCCCACTGCCATTTCAACACTGGGAAGGATGAGGAAGACTCAGCAGATCGGGAAACTCGATGTTGAAGAAACATGGTTCTGGCAGTGAGGAGCTGAAGAGCTTGGGTTTGGGAACGGTGTTTCGTGCTTTGCCACTGAAGACTCTGTAACCAGTCAAATAACCCAAGTCTGCTCCCTGCAAAGCATAAGTGAAACTTCTCCCCCTCATCACAGGAGTGGTGCATGGCTTGAACAAAGACTGAGCTGTGCTTTGTAGCACAGGCAGGAGCACGTAGATGTTGGTGAGGACAAAGCTCCTGTTTTCTGTCTATTGAACACGGTGTTTGCAAACAGAGTATTATTTTACTATACTCACCTCTGTTTGAACAAAATGTCAGCCAGCAGAAGTTTCTGGCAGGGATTTTTTACAACTAATCAATATTTCTTCTGCTGAACGCTGAATTACCAAACCATTAATTACTCACCTGACTGCAGCAACAAAGCAAAAGCTCTGGAGCATATTCACACCAGAGCAAACCTGAACAGCTCCAAGTGTTTATACCATCCCTGAGTTATTTCTCAGGTGAAGTCTGCAGTAAAGATAATATTTAGCAGCTGTTTAATGAAGCAAACCTAATTATTAGAGCTTCACATTCTTATTTCCCTTCTCATTATTTACCTTTGTGAAGAAGCAGTAACTGCCCTCAAAGAGGAACCACGTTACTCCTCTTGTTTGTTTTGAGTGGCAATGTGGGCTGGTGCATTCCAGAAAAACACCGAGAGAAATGCTGTCTACTTGGTTGTCATAAAATATTTCAGCTATTTAATTCCTTTTCCATTTTGACTGCTCTGTGTGCCACCTTGTAAATATCAGTCCAGCTGGAAGCTGACTGGCATCAAACCCCAGCTCTTCCAAACTCCGGGACACTATTTGGCGATTTCAGAGATAACCTTTTCTATCTGGATGCCAGGGGAACAACTGTTCTTCAAAATAATAAGAAAAAAGTCTCAGGTGTCCATTTTCTCCTCAAGTGCACACAATTGGTATTTATTTACCTTTTGCTTTGAAGGAAAGACTCTTAAAATATTTAATCACATTTGTGGTTTGGCACCAGACGATGGCCATAAATCCATTCTAATTGCAGCGCGTATCCATGCCAAAAGGTTAACTGTACGGTCTGTGGCTGTCAAGGAGTCGCTCGCAACATGAATCAGCAGGACTGGTTCAGCTGGAAGGTCACAAGGGCACGGCTTCTGATAAGCTGTTTCCCGCAACACAAAGGCCGTCAGCTCTGTTATTCCAGTTGCGAGCGGTACATTAACAATACTGGTGCATTCATAACTCACGGTTCCAGTACGTGAGCTCTGCCATGCTGCCTGGAAGGACCCACGCCACCGGGTTATGAATTTAGCATGAGCAGTGCCAACCCCTACCAGAAAGGAGAGAAAATAGCTTTACAGACTACCAGAAATCCCTAAGACCACCCGTGACCATCGTGAGACCCCCAAAGTTCAAGTCAGAGGGAGCAAAGCGCTAGTAATTTAATAAAAGCTCCCCTGCCCTTTTCCACCCAAATAAAAAGCTGCAGTTACTAGCGCTTCTCTCTCTCCTCTGCTCTGTGAGTGATTATCTGATAACACTCTGCACTTATTGAATATTTCTGTGCCTTAGCACATCCTCTTTCCCCTCACATCTCCTGAAGCAATACCAGTCTGATAGAAAAATGCCTCCATGAAACATGAAAGCCCATCCAGGAAGAACAGCCCGAAGGAAACAACAGGATGCTTGTTTTAAGTGTACTTGAGCAGGATTAATATCCAATTCAAGAGGCTATAATTCTAGGGAAGAGCTTTCAACGATGTGAAACACAAGCAAAGCTTTAACTCAGATCATAATTACAGCACTAAACACTCACTGAGCAATTAACTGTAACAAACCTACAGTTAGACAGGGAAGCACCAACCCGCATTACCCTTGTTTTACAGGAGAGAAACTTCAGGGCAAGTAACTTAACCCAAGCCAGGGAGGAAGCCTCCCAGCAAAGCAAGAATTCAATCCACCTGGTCCTGGGCTCAGCAAATACACACATAGCGTGGGACACTGTGACCTTGCATTGAAGGTATTTCAATTTTATCTACCTTACTGAATTAAAAGAAGAAACCTGTTTTCAGCATCAGTCTGGGCTAACTGCCTCCTTCTGCTTTAACATCACAATTCCTCTCCACAGAATAAACCACTGGGCACAGAGCACAGAAGTTTAAGTTATAAACACACATTTCCCTTTTTCTTAACATGATACGGTCACAGGCTGAAAGGATTCTTAGTAGTTGCAAGCCCAGCATGTAACATACAAAGATGTCACAACTGTGTCACCCTTGGAGAGGGAGGTGTTTCAGGAGTCATCGCAGAGGCTGCCCAGAAGGAACTTTTGCAATAAGATTATTGCCATCGCTTTCTGAGAGAGGAGATTTCCCTAAATACGTCTTTAATGCTCAGATTTGCAAAATATCAGGGTTGCATAGCATCACCTCCAATAATCCAGAGGTTGCCCTTCCCGTGACTGTCTGCCAAGAGGCACCGGCGGCTGCCAGCTGCCCTGCGGAGTGCCACGGCTCGCAGAAATTCAGCGAGCTGAAACGCTGCCGAGGGACAGCACCTCCAGCACGAAGCGGTTTCCTTAGCAAACTGCTAAGGATGTGCCTGTGCTGGGGATCACATCATCCCGCTTGATTTTACTGCAGGTGGAAAGAAAGTCACCTGGGCTCATCCAGGGATCCTAAAGCTGCAACAGGGGGGTGCATAAATGTAGTTGAATCCAGAAATGCAGTTGGAGAGACCCAGCAGGGCTAGGGGAGAAAACTTTCACAATGAAAAAAAGGACCTCCAGCCCCCAGGAAATCCTTTCTAATGAATGTTATCATAGAAACCAGGGCTGAAGAAAGGCTCGGGTGGTGAGAGCTTGTCTGGTTTTCATCCCCCTCTAATAAAAGACATCATCTCTCCCCCTGAGCCCAGCAGCGCCCAGGAGATACTGGAAAGGGCACTTTGAGTGAAAGGCTGAGATCCACAAAGCTCGCAGCTGTGGGTCTGAGTTTCAAATCAAATTACAGACAGAGGATTTCTCTCTCCCCGTTTCCAAGTCCTGCATGTGAAATCTCCAGTGCTACTGTACACGGCTTGACACTTAGTGCTCCAGCACTGCCTGACCCCTGCGTGCCACCGGCTCTCCCCGTGGGCAGCCCCGCGTCCCGGCACACCGAAGCGTGGGCAGCAGGGGAGAACCACAGTGAGAGAGGGTACTGCCGGGGCTGGGGGGTTTCCCTCACATCGTCATCCCAGGGTTATAAAACACATGGACCTGTTACCATGGCCGGCCACAACTCCTCTGCACGGTGAATTCACTTTGGACACGGGAAGATTGAACCTCCTGCTTGTGAGAGCGTGTTGTTTTGGTTTGCCTCTTTGGCTAATAAAGTGCTTCCAGAAATAAAATCTTAGTTTCCAGCCTCAGACTCATTCCTAGGGAGCTGGGCAATGGGAGGGAGCACACATATACTGGATCTCGATGACTCCCCATTCCCTTTACAATCAGAACCACCTGCTGCAGCCAGGACTGATGCACCAGCCAGGTCCGGAGCGGGGCAGCGGCTCGCAGCAATGGACTCACTGCAGCAACTTTTCAGGGGAAAACCCATCAGTCAACCAAAGGGAAAAGAGAACAAACCCTAGCTAGGAATAACCCCTTCATCTCACAAAGTCACACAGTTTTGCTCCCTTCAAACAACCCCATTCTGCTGACATCCTGCTCTGCTGCCCGCTCAGCCTTGGCTCGGGTGGGTTACAACCAGCGCTGACTCCGGGGGTGAGCCCTTCTCCCACCGCCGGGTGATGGAGAGGGGTTGCTTTAACCCACAGTTTCCATCCTCTGCTCTCCCCAGAGCTGGGAGGAGAATGCCAAGGTCCAAAAATGGGGTGGGCTCAGCAAGCTTCTTGCTTACACACTAAAAGACACTCAAAGGAAACAGGCAATTTATTTGTGAGCCAAGATTTCTGCTCAAGACTTGTATCAACACTTCCATGAATTCAGATTTCGAGCAACTCTTTGTTACTCAGCCTGAGATTATCAAAATATCAACACCCTGACAACCTGCTGGTGTCAAAAGTGAATGTCTCAAAGTCCTTGGACTCAATGTGAAGATAGGCTTACAGTTCCGATCTTTGATCTCCAGTATAAAATAGGACCAGTAAAATATTATAGGGATTTATGGCTGACCTCTCACTCGAGCTGTTTCACACCTAAAATAACACTCTAAGACGTGCCAAAAAAGAGGAAACTGTTTAGGTTTTTTTGCTTCTTAAAACCTGATACACTCTTATTTCAAAAACTTTTGACTTTTATTAAATAGACTGCTAGCAATTACACAATAACTCCTCTTCTGGATATCAGGGTCAGGAAAATGAAATATGTGGCTTTATTTAACTTCTTTAGGAGGATTAGCATGGTGCTAACCTCCAGCAGAATCACAGCTGTCTTAGGAAACAGTTCCATCAAAGGAAAGCGTATTTTCTACAAGACACATGCTACCATCTTGCTTCAGACAGGCTGGCTGCTTTCCTTTGCCCAGCCCCGTTCTCCTTTTCATCTCTTACAATTAAAATATTGACCATTTCATCATCTAACCTAGTTTGCACTCTTAAAATATATTTGCTGCAGGGCAGAACTGGGGGTAAAACACTAATCCTGACTGCTGGGCAAAGGTAGATGAAAAGCAATCAAAGATTACAGGCAATAGATAAAACTTCTGTTGGCATCACACACAACTGACCAGCAGCGCCAGGGGGAAAAGCGCTTTGAAAGAAAATTCAATTAGCTTTTGAATTCAACTAGATTCTCATGAAAAATGTTTCCTTTCTATATAAAAATCTTCCTTCTTCATTTAAAAAAAAATCACATGCTTTCAAACCACAGTATTGTGACTTGGAAATCCCACCACAACATCTTCCTGGACCACAGCTTTGCTGCCCTGCCGGTGTCTCCCGCAGCGAGCTACGGCCGTTGACTCCTCCATCCGAGGGGATGCAGAACCTGGGGGCTTATCGCTGGAGAGGCTGTAGGACTGGGAAGGCTCTGGTGCCAGAACTGCTGTTTCCATGAGATACACACTGCTTCCCACTCCTGCAGAACAGTGAGTCACTGGTAACTTGGGGTCTTCCAGCATGGCCACCCCTCGGTCCCACTCTGCAGCACCTGTGTGCTGTTGGACTCGCTGCCACCGACCCAGCTCAGGCACTTCTGCGTTGTTCTCAGGGTTACTCCACACAACACATACCCAGAGAGACCTAAAACCCACCAGACTCACTGAGACACCCAGAAGCTATTTCTACCTAAGGAAGTTTACAGAACAGCTACTAAAGGTTAACACCTAATTTCATTTCAGCAGTGTAAAATAAATCATTTTATCACCTGGAAAGCGTGGAGAGGTCACAGTGAGCCACTGGAACAAGCGTCATTACAAGACCCTCCCTGGATAGCAACCCTGGGAACATCCAGGAAAGGAGGGGAAGAATCACTCCTAAGTAGCAAGTAGGATACGTTTATTTATGATACAAAAGATGCCCTGTCATCCAGGAAAGGGCTGCAGTGACAAGGACTTCATCCTGACTGAATGAGAGTGTGGGGGGAGACAAAATAACCTGCTCCTATGAGTCTGCCTCAACACTTCACGCAGCTGCTGATGCTTCAGACCGACATGGGACACAGAGTGCTGGTGGGACCTGAGGAGCTGGGAAATGTTCCTGCACATTCAACTGAAAATGAGACAGGCACAGACAATGTGCCTTTCCAATAATGTTAAACTTGAACCTGTTCGTTTTTAAAGCACAGAAGTCAATTTTAAACTTGACGTTAACTTTTGATTCTGTTACACTAAAATCTGTACAATTTCAAGTCTCTTTTCACTGCATGATGAATAGACATAATTTCTCCAGTATTTGGGATACCCAGATAAAAGAAAAGCCTGTGAAATAGTGTTGTACCTCCAGATGTGAGATTGCACAGGATGTTTCACACCCTGCTCTGCTATGCATCCACTTCAGGGAGGGATTAGCTGGTACTACTGCCTTGAAGACAAAGACAAAACTCTTCATCATCACCACTTCTGCAGATTTCAAGCTCCCAACCGCAAAGCAGATGAGCCAGCTTGGGTCTGTCAGGCTTAACTCAGGTCAGCACGGTGCAAACAGAGCTATGCAGCTCTGGGCGCTGAACTAGCTCCAGATCAGCAGAGTCCCGTTCACACGGAGCTGCTCCCGAGTTGGCAAGCCCTGGTACCCAGAGACCCAAACCCAGGGCTCTGCCCACAGACACAGGGTCACCAACTGCTGCTTCACCCCCTGCTCTCTCCGTAAGCTCCGAGGTAGTCAGCAGCTATGTTAGCTCTTGCGTTTGCATCAGTTTACGCATTTTTGTAGGTTTGCTGCAAGAATAGCCGGATTTTGATTGCAGGCATCTGAAAAGGAGCTTTTAAAATTAATTTATGGTGAATGAAAGACATAGCTGTCAGTGGAAAAAAGGAAAAGTTGTCCTTACCTTTTGCACGAGATAGACACTAGTTGCTCTTTCACTCGCTACTTTATCCAGTGCTGTTTCTTCCAGTACAAAGTAGCTTACATCTGCGATGTGGACACCTACTTCGAAGTTCCCTGCAATTGCACAAGGAAGTCAGTAGGCTGCAGGTAGAAATGAAGCGCTGACATATTTAACTCTGACCCCTCTCCCCCATCTCCCAGTGCCACCGTAACCTTTTTGCCTTCTGCCTACATCTCACAGACATGATCCTTCTTTCCACCTCTTCCATCTGAGATGAAAGCTGTGGTCTCTCAGAACACTACCAAACTCACAGCCACTGTGCCTACAACACAGACGGGTGAATCCTCAAGCACAGTGGATATGGGAAAACCCTTAAAAACCATGTGGATAAGATGTTCCATCTCGGAGTTTGTAATAGCGAGCCCAGTCCTCATCCCTTTGGTGTCAGACAACATCAAGCAAGAAATCCGGGACCCCACCTTACAACCACACCGGCAGTGCAGGACACCGCCTCCCAGGTATGGGACAGCAGGTCCCACACGCTTTTGGGTTCTCAGGGCTCCACGTGTTCCCGCTTCACCCTGGTTGAGACCAAGTTGCTGCTGGTGGCCTGGGAAGTCTTTAATGACTTTGGATCAGGCTATGCAGAAGTGCAGCTTTCCACAAGCACAATATTCCCACTGTTCTCCTGCCGTCCCTTCAAATCAGGCTTTTTATCCCTTAATGAAGAGTCCAGTCTAGAAGTATCTTAATTCAAAAGTTAGGAGTATTACTGAGGTTTATCATGAGGTTTTGGCAATAATTGGGATTTGGAAGTAGTGATCATCCTCAGTGTTAGAAGTAATTAGTACCTTGGTCCAAGAAATTCTGGTTTCTAATCCTCAAAGCAGCCTACTGACCTTTGTTTTCTCTGGAAGGACTGGGCTAGATTTGAGGTGCTTATTTGTAGAAGAGTTCTAAGTGCAGCAGGTTCCTAATTATAACATTTGGTTCTTTAGAAGAATTCACTAACTTCTTGGTATCTATAAATATTTTTTCTTTCCTTGATTTTTTAAAAAAGACAACATAATAAGATACTGTGCTGGTGACAATTCTGTTTGTTTATACGTCTTGCGAAGAATATTATCAAAGCCTTTCTGTAGAGCGTCATGTTTTTGAAGGATAAATGGTTCATAGCTGCCATCATGAAGCAGTACATCTGCCCCTGTGTCCTTCTGACGGGTACCAGCGCTAGATTTCAGCAGAGTGGGACTGGAAACGTACCCGGGGGAAAAGGAAGCGGGAGAAGGTTCAAGCTCGTAGGAGAGCCGCCCAGCCCCCTGTGCCCCCAGCTGGGAGCTCGGGCAGGAGAGCACCAGCCTGTCCTGTGCCACTGTTTGAACTCGTAACTATTTTAACTTTATGAAGCCATGTTTACGCAGCACTTTGAGTGGGCAAAGTATCATCTTGGTTTTTGTACACTCAACAGAGCACGGGTGTGAAGGCAGCAGAAACACCCATGGAAGATGGGAGCGCTGGGGTTTAGATTTGTCCACGTAACCTCCAGTCACTGCAGAGAGTAAATACGATGGCAGCAGGGGAAGAGGGCAATTATGCCACTGCACACCAAGGGACAAAATCCACCACTCCTTAGGAAGCTGGGGGAAAAGACTGCAGATTAAATGGTTCACCTCAGAAAGCTGCCGACAGCTGTGTTGTGATATTATCACATGCCTTGAAAGCTGCTCTACATGGATTAGGCATCCAAGCCTGAAACTACTTAGACAGTAAGTCTTAGACCAACAGTTCAACCAACAGGTTTAATATTACACGCATCTGAAGCCAATGCACTCAGAAGGTAAAAAAATATTGAATACTTTGAAGTCAATATTGTAATGTATTGACCCTGCAGGCAAATATTGACGAAAGGAAAAGGAGAGAGGGTCATTACATCATGCCTTTAATCGTACTTTAATTCAATATGTGCCCTGTTACATACATGAACTTTTCGTCCTCGGTAGAAAATCGACAAACCAAGAAAAATCTCATTGCATGAGATAATAAAACACGGAGTTAGCCAACGAAAACACATTGAGCGGAGTTAAATTTCATTCAGGTTTCCCACCAGAGCTTCTAAAAGCTGGGGTCAGCATGAGCCCCCTGCTTTTGAACTTTTAATGGAAATTCTATCTAAATATTTTCTTACATACATTGACATAATGCAAACTGGCAGCTCTTGGGTTTGTCTTGCTCAAGTATGAATCACCCTATCTCTCTCACCCCAAAAAAATTCAGACCAAGAGAACTTGAAGATACAGCACAGCGACCAACCAATCTGATTTCTCTCAAATCACTGCTTTTGACTGCGTTAGACAAAATACCAGCCTAAGCCTGCACAGAAATACCTGCCTACTGCTCTCTCCTGGTTTATTTGCTAAAATGAAAGAGCTTTTGTGGATAGAGAAATACTATTCACTAGGATTCTCTTCCAGATCTACAAAGAGCTTTTCTACTCTCATTAATTTTTATGACAAAGTCACAAAAGGAACATTTCAAGTTGTAAGAGTTGTTATTTCCCAAGGAAAAAAGAAAATGTGGCTTGAATGAAAGGAAGAGAGAGTTAAACCAGCACTCATTTATTGAAAAAGTCTTGTCAGAGGGCAGAAAAAAGGGGGAAAGGGTGGACACCACATGGACCACACACCACAGACTGCTACACATGGTCTACTCCACCTTCATTGGGATGAAGAAATCTACTTTTCCAGCAAAGAGAGGCTTCAAGTCTTGGCATGTAGCTCTCTCTCATGATAGACTTTATACCCTGAATATCTTACAGAAATGAGTACTTTACAAACCACAGACTTACTTCACCCCAAATTTAAAACCCTCCTACAGTGAAGTTAAAGCTGCACAACAACACCTCAAGCTATGTGTATGCTACCAGTTTAAGGACATATTTTCTTGAGAAAGGAATTTACATAAGAACGTACAGGAGATTAAGCCAGACACTTCACATCCTGATATCAAAGCAAGAGCTGAAGGGAACATTGTGATGAAATTGCTGAAGGCACTTGGATGGCTTCTTTCACTCAGGATCTCTGGGATTTTTTCATTTCAAATCATTTCATCTGAAAGTGGGTGCAAAACTGTCAACCCATCCAACTCCACCACTACAGAGCTGCTACAGGGGAGACATTCAGCAACAGGGATGCAGTTCAGAATCGTGTTTTGTAACCAGCTGTACCCCGTTAGCCCCTCTCTGCAAATACAGAGACGTGGCGACAGAGATGGATGGAAGACAGGAGCATTACTTGAATTTACACCGTGGCATTGCAAAAGCCAATACTGAGGCCCTTTGCAAAGAGGAGCTCTCCTCCCCAGGTCTGAAAGAAAGAGGGAAAGGGCTGGGCACTCTGTCACCAAAGCTCCTCTTGGGCCAATGCTCTGTGCAGGAGGGACAGGATTTGTTGCCACCTTACAGCAAACAACACAGTTCTGATGCCCCGGTGGCACTGCACAGGGAGAAGACAATTTCCATTTTTGCATCATGTAGGCTGCTAGAATGGCGGAATAGAATGGATCTGGATTTCTCCAAGTTTCCAGAAGCCTGGATCTGCTCAAAGCTTACGAGGTGACAGAGCTAAAAGTGGCTGGTCCCCCCCAGCACGATGCTGCATTCGGCACACAGCAGCTTTGGAAAAGGTTTGGCTCCTTGATTTGAGAATCTGGTTTGTTTGAACCCACTCCAAAACCTTGTGTGTAACGCTGATACGATGCTAAAATCAAAGGAGAATGGTGGCACCTCACAGAAGAACAAAGAACAAGCTGTTCCTTTTTTTAAAATTTTTTCACTGATGATCTCATTCTCTACGACAAAACAGTTCAAAGAACTTTTTTTCCTTCTTTCTTGAGGAAAATTATAAACAAGAAAGGATTAACAAGAAAGAGCTGGAAGAGAAGGAAAAGGCCCTTTCAATCTGCAAATGCTCCATAAAAACTGCCAACCCAGCAAGTCATATCAAGTATTTGCCCCAGGAATTAGAAAGCCGAGGTGAACGTATTTGAACAGCATTCAAGGGAACACACTGGCAGCAAATCCCTCTTCTCTGTCTTCAGCAGCCCTAGTCAGACCTAGCACAAATGCAGAGACAGACCAAGCAAGTTCACTTCATACCTTAGCAAATAGGAATTTTAGGAATATGTAACTTTAAAATGCAGCTCTTCAAGGATAAAGCAGCAGAAGGTAACTCTCTAGCACGCATACATGCTCCCTTTTATTTCCATCTCACCTTCAAGCATCATCCTTCTCAGGAGAGAAGACAAACACTAGCAAGAGTGTTAAGTCAACATAAAAACCTATAACCAAGTTTTTTGTATTAACCACTATTTCTCACGCTGTCTCCACCCCTCAGTTAGGCAGATACACAAGAGTTCAAAGCAGATTGCGAAGTGCTTGCTCTAGCCAGAAAACAGCAAACTACCTCCCTGCTGCCAGCAATTCAAGGCAGTTGGCTGTTCCCTGGCTAGACCAAACTCTTGCAGTGAATAATTACAGCTCTTCCCCATTCCCCTGCCCCGGGGGAATCCCATGTTGCTGCTCTTATCTGCGAAGCAACATTTAACGCCTTGCAAAAGTATGAAAAACTTGCAGAAAGAGAGACAAATGAGGCCTTTAACCTACATGCACATTTTGTTGCTGTTAGCAGCGCCACAGTGGAGCGTGGGTCTCCATCACCTGTTAAATATAAGTTGCACCAAGGCAGAAAATGGCACTGAGACTTGGGGAAGCTGCTGGAAGTAGCTAGAGGCCATCACAGATCTTTAACACATGCCTTTAAATGAAGGACCTGATCCATGGCCAAACATTTCTGTTTCTCTTTGGCATGTGTACGTACATCCACGGCTCAAGGGTTACAGAAGTGTCCCTCTTGGGATAGAGGAAGGAGAAAAGAGGGAGAGAAAAGAGAATGACTGAGTGGGAGAGAAGAGCAAGTGGGAAAGCAATTGCAAGATGTAGAGGAGGAGGAGAAGAGTTTAATATAAAAATAAAAGTGGAAGCACGGGAAGAGCAGGTTATTTGTCTGCTCTGGAGCCTGAAGACAAAAGTGGGTGGCTTTAATTCTCAGCTGAGGTT